CCAGGCCAGACCCTGGACCGTCCAGATGGACGGTTCAGCCTCAATCGGCGGGCGGCAGCTTCAAGAGCGCCGCCAGGCCCAAACGAAGTGTCGTTTGGGCCTACCCGATGGGTGCTGGTCCAAAATCAGGCCTTTAGGGCCTGTAACCCCAAAGGTCGGGCCTTTAGGCCCTGGTGTGTCCCTCCGGCCCTAAGTCGGGTCCGGTAGGACCCGTGTGAGTCGAAGATGTAACAGAGTGTGTCTGTGCATGAATATGAATGTATGCGCATGTGTTTGTGTATGTGTGTGCTTGTAAGTGTGTGTGTGTGTGTGTGTGTGTGTGTGTCTGTGCTTGTAATAGTATGTGTGTGTTTGTAAGTGTGTGTGTGTATATATGTGTTTGTAAGTGTGTGTGTGTATGTCTGTGTTTGTAAGTGTGTGTGTGTGTGTAAGTGCAAGTGTGTCTGTGCCTGCGCGTGAGAGTGTGTCTCGCCTTACTCACAACCTCGTTCCCCAACACACAGATTCCACTTGCACCCAAGGACCACCCTGCACCACACCCAGCTTACAGCAGCGCAGCTCGGCTATGGCTGCCTGCTCCTTCCTGCTTGCCCGTGAGCGCGTGATTGGCACGAGCTACAACGCGGCACCGCTTACGCAGCATGCAGCCAGCACCCGAATGCCCAATGTGGAGGCAGGCCCTTTGCTATATCGAAGTGGCCTGCCTGTGTTCAGTCCCAGGAAGCTTTCAGTAGGCCCCAATAGCCTGATGCACAACACGAACGAGAACAAGCCTTGGGCCTGAGGTGGTTGCATGCCCCCAACTGCCTTTGGCCTATGTTTGGCCCAGTAACCGTATCCAGCCCAGGGCCTGCTTTCCATACATTCACACAAGCGGCCCAGGACCTGGGTTCCCTCAACCAACGGACGCCAGACTCATGCAACCTGCTACAGGCCCAATTTTATGTGTGTGTGTGTCTTCTTTTCCTTTTTTTTTATTTGCTTTTTATGGTTTTGATTTTTTTTCTTAAATACACAAAATTCCAAAAAAATAAAATAAAAAATAAATTGTTGTACATCTTTGAAAGATCTACAACCCTATATTTTTTATTTGTTTTTTTTGTTTTCGTTTAAGCCCTTGAAAGATCTGTGTGAAACCCAAAACAAAAACACTCATTTCATTTTAGTTTTTGTTTTTTCATTGTGTGTTTATGTTTTTGATTTTTTGAAAATAGATTTAAGCATCAAAAAATAAAAATAAAAATACAGGGTTGTAGTCCTCAACAAAACCCACAACCCCATTTTTGTTTTTTGTTTTTGGATAATTTTTCGCCCAGGAAAAAAATCATCTCGGACCCCGTTAATTCCCGTCCAACTCGCGTTTGAACGGGAGCTTAACGTGAATTCAATGCGCGTTGAATTTTTCAACGCGAAACCCGCGTTAAATCCAATTTCGGACACACAGTGTACATGGATGATATTCAGGTGTATTCGAGTTCCTACGAGGGGCACGTGCAACACATCGAATGGACGCTGCATGCATTGAGGGATGACGGTTTCAAGGTGGCGCTGGAGAAATGCCAGTTCTTTCTCACCACCATCTCCTTCCTGGGACACGTGGTGACAGACGAGGGGCTTAAACCGGAGCCGCAAAAGGTGACAGCTGTGAGAGACGTGTCTGTGCCCATGACTATTACGCAAATTCGCGCCTTTCTGGGCACGGCCTCGTACTACCGAAGGTTTATCAAGGGCTTCGCGGCTATTGCGGGTCCCCTCACGAATCTGCTGAAAAATGATCAACCATTGATTTGGACGTCAGAGTGTGATCAAGCGTTTTCGAAACTCAAGGCAGCCCTCATTTCGGCTCCAGTCCTTATAAGACCGGATCGTGAAAAACCTTTTGTCCTCATCTCGGACTGGCAGTTGGAGGCAATCTCAATGATCTTGGCCCAGGTGGGACCAGGCAAACTCGAATGCGTGGTGGAATACGCGTCTAAGTCAGTGCTTGCCTGCAAGCGCAATTACGCCGCCCCGACAGGAGAATGCTATGCGGCTCTGTGGGGGATCAGTCACTTTCGAGCCTATCTGTATGGGCGGAAGTTCACGCTGGTCATCGATCATGAGCCATTATTTGCCCTGAAGAAATCTAAGGATTACTCGGGCATGATCGGGAGATGGGCAACGGTGCTACAGAGCATGGACTTCGACATTCATCATCGGAAGCGCGAGGGGTACGGGAATGCTGACGGATTGACACGATTGCACCGACCCGAGAAGGTCCTCAAGAGCGAAGAGGTAATTCCGTGGAACGAGCCGAAGGATGAGAACGGACCACGGTACGGGCAAGTGGAAATTTTGTCGAAGGAGTGAGTGACACGGGGCTTTTGCTCTACCATCTCTGCAGCCCTGCTCTCTCTCTCTCTCTCTCTCTCTCTCTCTCTCTCTCTCTCTCTCTGTCTCTCTCTCTTTCTCTCTCTCCCCTCCCCTCTCATCATGGCTACCCCACCTGTCTCTGCGACCCCTTCTTCCCCTCCTGATTCCGCCCCTCTCGCTTCCTCGGCCTTCTTCGCCACCCTTCCCAATAAAATCTGCTATTTTTGTACGTGTATTACACGGGTTTATGGGGTGGATTGTCATCCTTTCGAGACCGGATTCGTTGAGTGGGTGAACTGTGCCACGTGTGTCAATCGTGCACACAGTGCATGCATTCGATACCGAACGAATAGTAGGGAACGGAAGTGCCCTCTGTGTAGAACGGACAAACTCCCTACCGAGGTTCGATTCGAGGCTGCCCGAATGGACGACCCTGAATATGACAAGAAATACCGACAAGCGAAGGTATGGACGGATAAAATTCTATTAGCTAAATTGGCTGGTTTACCCTTGGATCATCTTACTAAACACGACAGACGTCGGGCTACCGAGAGATCCCGGGATTACCGATGGATCAACGGTCACCTAGAAAAACGTAAAACTGACGGATCGGTTTTGTGGTTGACGGTTCCCCATCCATTCCAGAGATATGATTAGACCCGATCTGCTCACGAAGAGCAGGCCGCTCACTTCGCGATACGTGTCATGGAGGTAACTGTAGATCAGAATCGATGGTTCTGGTCTAATATACGAGACGATGTCAGATACGTAGTCGCCAACTGTCTGGTCTGTGTCGCCGATCGTGCCCCAATACGGGGACCAAACACGATAGTACCGACGAAAGTAGAGCGCCCTTTCCAGGGAGTCAGTATGGACACGACAGATATCGACGTGCCACCTGGCCCAAACCGTTGTGAATATTCCATCCTTTTAGTTTTAATAGACCATTTTTCCAAATACATTGAGGTCTACCCCTGCAAGACCCATAAGGCCGCAAAGATAGCCACGTACATCGATCGGTTCCTCTATACCCACCTAGATACGGAAGAGATTCTAACCGACAACGGGTCCGAATTCAAAGGCGAGGTAGAGGAATTGCTAGCGCGCCGAGGCATTACGCTTCGACACACGGCACCCCACGTTTCCCAGTCGAACGGGTTGGCCGAAAATGCCAATCGCATGATTAAGACTGCCCTTCGTAGAAATCTAGCGGCACATGACACCCGTTCGTGGCCCGAGATCGTATACCAAATCGTCGGAATTCACCGGGCCACCCCTCACGAATCCACGAGGTTCACCCCCTTTCAGCTTCGCACCAATAGCCTCCCATGTGTCGATTACCGGGGCAACTCGGAAATTGCCGAAGCAGGGGGTAGAGACACGCGTGCCGCCCTTAAGGCCAAGGCCAAGAGGTACGCCGATTTAATGGAAAGGGCCGTCCCGAAGCGAGCCCGAAAGAGGCAGAAAATGAATGATCTAGCCCACGGGAGGCAAGTCCGTAGCTACGAGGCCCGAAATGGGAACGCCGGTCCCCAACATCAATATAAATTAGGGGACCTAGTATAGGTACGTAAATGTGCACGCGACCGGAAACTTGCTCCCAAGTTCTCTGGCTGTTTCCGCGTTGTCGAGCTCGGACCCAATGGTGCCAACATGGTGCGCATCGCGCCCGAGGCCAGCGCCAGCCATAGCTCTGTCCCCATCGTCCGCCATACCTCTTACATCCGTCCCCTCCCTCCTTCTGATCTCCCTCTGTCCCCCTCATTTGTTGAAGACAAGGACGACAACGATCTAGCTCACGCCTCGTTCTCTCCCTCTTGTTCCCATTCCTCATCTTCTTCCCCGTCCTCGCTATGAGTTTCATCATGGAGCAAGCTCTCCGCAATCATCTGCTGCAGCCACGGGGCTACATCTCGGAGATCTGGCAAGTTCGTCATCCGCGGCTCAATCCTGATCTTCGACGACTAGCACTGTTCTTCTGCACCGAGGGTGTGTGTGCCGCCGCTGCGTTCCGATTGGCCGGAAGTGCGCAGGCAGTAGTATTGGCGGAGGTGGTAGCATTTCATTGACGGGCGGCTCCAGGAACGAGCTACGTCACCAGGGTCGCTGCCTTCAGCGGCGATATCAGCGCGGTCAGCCCGCTCAACATACCACGATCCTGACCTCATTACGGGAGTGGACGCAGCAGTTATCGACTGAGTGGCAGCACGGTCTTGCGCGCCCCGGGTGCAACCTCGTCCCAACATACGGGACTGACTTCGACGAGCTCCACACCTCTACGCGTCAGCCGGCGGTGGTGCTCCCCACAATCGTCCCCTTCCAACGCCCCCAATGAACCGTGCCGCTCCTCTCGCTCCTCTCTCCACCTTTGGTCTTCCCTCTTTTTTTCCCACCTTCTGGCAATCCGATCTTCATCCGCGCCTTTCCTTCTTGCTCGAGACCCTTGCAGTCCCGTTCCTCGATCCCAGGCATTAGAGGGTATGGCGCGAGACTTTTGTCGATCTGTCTGTGTGTTTGGCCCGACTGGAGGTGACGTGGACGAGGACCGACGAGCATCAGGCGTGTATTGAGTACCTGGAGCAGCTGATTATCCTGGTTTGGAGAACTGACGTCGAGGGCGATCTTCTCGGTTTTCTTTTCGGATCGGTGCGACCAGGCCATCGCCAGCTGATTGTTCAGGAACTCGTCGTCCCGCTCGCGTAACTGGTCGACGACCTTTCTCTCGATATTGTTTCGCAAAGTGACGAGAGCCCGGCTCCGCACGTCGTTACGCGAACATTGGTGCCGTATCTTCAGTAGACTGCGTGCTTGGAGGAACCAGGGAGTGAAAACGCCCTGCCATCACGGCAGGAGTACTTGAAGTCGGCCGGAATCATCAATCTCGCCTTCTATCCGAAGCAAGATACATCCGAGGAGGCAGGAGAAGAAGAAGCCACTAAAGAAGAGGACGACGCCGAAGAGGAAACGTTGGAGGAAGGGAGTTATAGCGAGCACAACGAAGAGGAGCAGAGTGTAGAAGAGGAAGAAGAAGAAGAAGAAGAAGACGAAGAGGAAGAAGAAGAAGAAGAAGACGAAGAGGAGGAAGAAGAAGAAGAAGAAGACGAAGAGGAGGAAGCCAGATCGGAGTGGGAGGCCTTGCCGGAGGAAGCGGCGCGCACAGGAACAGAGGCGGAAGATCCCGAGGCGGCACGTAAGAGGGAAGAGATCGCAGCCGGGAAAAGCCAGCTGGAGTTCGCCAACGAGGTGAACCTGTGCATCAAGGACGACCCGACCAGGGATCCAAAGCCCCCTAAGCCCGAAGATGGCGACCCAGCAGCCGCGGCTCCGAGCGCATCGCGACGGAGACGGAGTCGATCCCCCTCCCCCTCCACCTCAGCCCGTCCCCCAGTTCGTCCACGTACCGATGCGGGGGACCGGCCTTCGTCCCCGGTCATTATCCCGCCGTCCCCTTGATTACCTCACCCTCTGTCAGATCTCTACCCCCGTCACCTTCCCTCACAACCCCTTCCCCCCCCAATATCTTCCGTCACTTTTACTCCACCTGCCTCGCCATCACCGTCCATCCCCATCCCTCCCTTCAATGCGCAAACCCCACGTTCTGTTTGCACGTCCTTCTGTTTAGTGCCGCGTGGGAGCAGAGCAATGCAGTAGAAGTCTACTGCGTAATCACAGGAACCGTCCCCGCATGTTGCCATCGCAAGCTGTTTCGTGCGGCACTCTTCCTCACTCTCTCCACCCTCTACCCTGACTACCTCGCTTCCCTCCCTCACAGCGGCGACCGATTTCCCCGCTTTCACCGGATCATCCGCTACGAGGAGCTTCCCATCACAGAGGAAGGGATGAACTGCTACTTACCCCCACTTCCCCCCAACCCTCCCCGTCGACACCCCTCCATGTATAATGTCTACTTTCTCATTCCCACGCGGCGCTGATACCCACCACGTGTCACGACGACAACCCTTCCCACCCTCTTTTTGTCAATGACCGTTCTGAGCGTGGCGATCGACTGGAGAAATCGACACGTGTCCCCCGAGCAACATGAATCAGCAGTTTCGCGAAGATCACGCCATTGACGATGACGTCAACTCATGCTCTGATTCGACGGATTGTGCTGGACTTGGGGTGCAGAGCACACGGAGACATGATGGTGGACGATCTCCGAAGTTTGAAGGGAAGGGGGTTGCATATGATAGGACCGCAGAGGATGGGGATCCGATACATCATGAGCCGTCATGCATCACAAAGATCTTGCCACGGATGTTGTCGTCAAATCATACCCAGTTTTCTCTGCCGACGTAGATTGTGCTGATCTAAGCCTCCTACTTCGTCATGCTTCTTCGTCTCCTCCCACTTCCTCTGTTCAAGGTTTTTCATGCAATCAGGAGATCGCATAGTTTTGGAACCCCCTGCGCGTCACATATGTGACGAACCACTTCCCGACCCCGTGCTATCTTTCGTACCCCTTGACTCAATCCCCCCCCTTTTGTATCATACCGACCCAATACAACCTCCGTCGCTTTTCCTGATTTCAGGTGGCTTGTTTAGGCCCCCATTTTTTGGAGGTTCTATTGATTCTTGGAATTCTGCCTTTTTTTTGTAATTCGGGAAATGCATGGGAAATTACGCGCGCGAGCGAGCGCACTGGGAATCAGGCTCGACAGTAAAAAAATTCCGGAATAGGCGAAACCCGGTGTGTCTTTTTCTTTGCATGAATGTTCCAGTCACATCGGAGAAAACTCTAGGAATTTTGTGAGAATACGACTTTCTTTTCCCGCGTCGACTTTCGCGCGCGGATATGGTGATTTCAATTTTTGAATTGGTATAGGACATAGGCAAGCTGTAACTATTTTGGTGCCTTTTCTTTTTGTTGTCGGCGCCGCGCATGTGAGCTTCCTCCTCCTTATTTCCCGCGTCATTTCCTCTCTCCCTTCTCCCTCCTCTTCTTCCCCTATCGCAACTCTTTTTCCCTCTCTCTACTCCTTGCGCGCCTGTTTTCCCTTCTTGATCATCTGAATCTTGGACCCGTCTCGCGCTGATTTTCGCGCCTCTTTCCTTCTCGCTCTTCAACCTTGGCTCGCGAGACCCGGTTGATCCTCCGATTATCCTCGCTCACCAATCAGACACGTTGAGCAAGAGGATCTTCCTGTTGCGCGACGAATCTGATTGGTTGAGCAGTGAGTTCCGAAGGATCAACATGGCTTCCCTTGAGCACCTCTCGCTAAATCTTCTCCTCTTACACATCGATTTCCCCTCTGTCTTCTCCCCCGCAAAACTCTCTTACGTTTTCCACTCGCAAGCCAACTTCCGGGAAGCAGTGGCTAGGTGATGCGTTGGGTGCGAGTCGAAAATTCCTGTCGGGCTGACTGTACGTTGGCCGATTGTGCGCTTAATCGCCACGACGGACAGTGGGATCCGGGCGAGCCGTGTCGAGCTTGCATCAGAGGGGTGACGATCGCAGCGGCGGAAGTTAGTACGCGACGACCGGGATCGTCGGTGCGGGTATGAGGATCGGTAATTGGAGTTAAGTGGATGATTGGCACGGGGCCATACTGGAATTTCGCGGCGAATGCGCCTTCATGGTTGCGGATCATTTCTTTTGGTGTGAGTTTATGGCTGTGAAGCCGAATGTTCCCATGTCGGATTTCGGTGTCTTCTGTCTCGACATTTCTCGTCATTCTCTCCCATCTCTCTTTCTCTCTCTGTGATTTGAATAACAATGTGTTATGAGTCTGTCTCTCCTATGAACAGAAGTGAATCCTCGTGATTTCCCGAAGAACTTCTTCCGGAACTCTTCCATTAGTCTCTTGGGTGATCCCCAGATGTAAGGGAACTCAATCCTCTTGTCTTGTGAACGGTGGATGCGTGTGTACTATCCCCCGATTTATTTTTGATGCACCATTGTCATTTTTCGCACCTTCCACAGTGGATGTATGCATGGGAATGCTTGCCTATGAGTTTGTTGTGTTTATTAGACCCAGAATTCGACGGGATTTTGTTCGAGAATGCAAGAGTGTTTAGATATGTCGTTTTGAATACAATGCGCATGCCATCTGCCTTATACTGCACGACATTTGCAGATTGTCTATGGGGCAACCTCGAATTAGCCAGGCGGGTCCGGCCTGCTGAAACTGAGTCGCGGGTTGATCCCTCGAAACTCGAACCCGATTATTGCATGGTTGTATATGCTTCTCCCGGGTTGAAGGGAAGGAAAATATTAGTTAGTTTTTTTTTCGATTGTGCTTTTTTATGACGTCTCAAGGTTTTTGCAAACTCATTTTGATTGATTGATATGTGGACTGACGGCCGTACCTCGATCCGGCGCCAGCCTCTCGTATCTCCCTCGCCAACGCGCCCCTTCCCTTACAACGAGGAAAGGACACATGTTTGCGAGTGGGACGTACGAGAAGCTGTCGCACGGAACGGTGGACAGTACTACTTCCCTCCCGAAAATCGTTGTTCTGGATTTGTGGACGCGGGGTTTGTCATTATCGATACACACTTCCCGCCTTACTCAGTGTTGTGTTGCCATTTAACGAGCTGATCGTCATTCCGTGGACGACAGTGGCGCCCCATTGGCCTCGAACCCTGTGCACTGAGTGCCGGCGTTTCAATCGCTATGAATCGAAGGGTTTCCACTACCGGATACGGAGTGAAGACGAGCACAAGGAAAGAGCCACGCGGCTGAGACCCTCCACGTCGGACTCGGAACTGACCAACAAGCGACGTCGGGACTTTATACGGAAACGGGATAGTGTCACGCGGAGTGTACCGAAGCCCTTTCGCTCTAAATGAAGGTTCATAGCGCGGTGGGAAGTTCGACAATACTTTTTGGATTGAATTTGGATTTTTTTTTTTTTGCGTCGTGCCCGCGCGCGCGTTCTGCGACGCGTGAAAGCAACCGACTTACTTCATCGGGCCAACACGGGGGATTTCAGTTCTGTCTGAGTCCCCACACTCAATTTTCCAAAAATCCTTGGCACACCCCATCTTGCTGTTTTTCTGGGCATTCTTTCCGCATCTTTAAGCACTCCGAACGAAAGACACTAGACAACGCAGGGTGTGAGGTTTGCGCGTGTGTAATTAATTCGTACTGCCTTCCTATTGCTTTTCCGTTTAATATCACTACGCTTACCTACTCTGACCTATCCAATCTTAATCTATGCACAGACCTACCTGTCGGTCCGGTATTTCCTTCTAAGGTATCTGACACTGGTATTTCCTTCTAAGGTATCTGACACTCTCCTCCCTTCCACCCTCGCAGCCTCCTGTGGCTGCCCACTGGAACCTAGTGCGCCTGGTTCATGATACTAAGCTTCCTACTGACCTTAACATCCCCCCCATTCTGTCCCGCCCACCCATATGGCTGGTCTACTCAGCATACCCGTCTTACATACTCCCTACTTCTCCCCCCTCTCCCTACCACTTCCTATTCTTAACTTTCAAACTGTCAACCTTTCAACCTTTCCTTCCTCTTAGCTGTACAACCAGGGGGTCAAAACCAATTTCCCTACCACTATGGATTCGCAGCGACAGAATGGAAAAAACCACCACACTATGGATTCAGTAAGGAATTGGAGAAGGGGGGATTAGTGAGGATCTCCCAACTGAAGGATGTAGAAGAGGTAGTTACGAGGATGAAGGTACAGAGAGCACCCGGAGGTGGTATGTTAGTGCACAAGGTAAGCCTCCCTATAGGCCTCACCCCCCTTCATGCTGCCCCGGTGGACGAAAGAGGAATTGGATGGTGGAGCGAGAAAGAGGCTAGAGTGACACCACTAGATTTGTACTCCTCGAAAAAGGGAACAGATGTGCTGAGAGCGAAAGTGAGGAAAAAACCAACATCAGTCATTGAGAGCCTCAGAAGAAGTCAGGACCTGCTGAGCATTTCAAAAGAGGAACTGCATTCGATGTACAGACAATGTAAAGCAATGTCATCTCAAAGACTGACCTGTATGCTGTGGCTCCAACTGTTTCTGGCAACAGCAACGACAGTTAGCTTGGTTAATAAAGGGATGAACATCCCTGCCAATTCTATACGATGTGAGTGGTTTTGGGAAACTGAGAGACATCTGTGGTTGACATGTCCGGCATCCAGACGGATATGGGACTGGTGAATTTACCACTGGAACCGTATTACGAAAAGGGAATTCCAGTGGTCGGACGACTGGATCGTGTCAGGTATACACAGGACAGCAGATAAGCAGGAAAGCAACTGGTTGTATGTTGCCCAGTCGATAAGAGCGATTATAATGAAAGTGATTTGGGATGACAGAAACACCCAGCTGTTCAAAAGGCTTTACACATCTGATTCGGCAATCAAGAATACGATAGTGTCTGATATCAGAACGACAATTCAGTGTGACTGGTGCCGCAAATCATTGAACGGTCAGAGAGAAAAGTGCAGGAAGTGGTTTTGGGACACGTGGGGGAGAGAGTCCAGATTAGCAAAACTGAACCCGTTAGGTAGGGTCAGTGTAGCGCCATGGCTGCTCGCCCCCACTGGTCACGACGAGCGGTTTAGCTCGCCACCATGAAAGGTCAGGA